GGAATCACTGCATGGGGGCTGCTGAGGAGTTCCACACGGTCCCAGAAGCCCTCAGTGCTCAAGAGGGGTAGGTTTTTATGTTTTCCTTCCCAAATAGCCCTATGGAAGTCCACCTTCATGTCTGGGCAGGCCAAGGTTTCACTACAGCTGGGGCCTCAGGGCACTGACATAGGAGAGGCGAGAACGACAGTCTGACCCAGTGGTCCCAAAGGGGCCAAGGACTGTTTGCAATCCAGACCAACCCCATGTAACGATTTGTAGCCAGTAGTCCTTTGCTGGAGGCCACAAAGGGGTATTTTGACAGAGGTCAAAGCCCTTTGGGGGCTCTGCTGAATCTAGGTATTTGAGAACTCACTCTACCAGAGTGGGAGGCTGTTTCCCATGATACACTGCGGGGGGGAGGGGGAAACAGCCTCCTGGGGAAGAAGCTGCTCCCGCTGCGTTCCTGGATCCTGGAGCACCCAGGTTGTCTGCCCTCTGTCTCGCCGGCCAGGAGCCTCAGCCTTCCCCTTCCTGATCATCACCCAGGCCTGGAGCTGGAGTCTTTCCAGCAGAGCTGCCTGTGAAGGAGCTGAGGTGGGCTGCTGACTCCCCTCCCCCCTCACCCCCCCATTCGCTTTCCTTTTGGCCAGGGAGGGGCGGGGGAGGGCGGGTGACAGCTGTCTCCCAGGGCTTCCGGGTCTCTGACTTTGCTGCTGCATTCCCTGGCAGGCAGGCAGGAGGGAAACGCCTGTTGTGGAGATGCCAGGTTCCCTCAGCTGCCGGGCCTGCGGCTTCAATCCCAAGGAGCACCTTGACAAAGCTCCACAGCCATGTTCTCTCAGGCAGGTGGACCCTGGTCCTCCACTCCTCTCTCCTCTGTGGCCTCTAGTGCTAGCTCCGGCACCAGCAACCCCATTTCCTAGCTTTGAAGACTGAGGCTACAGCCGAGGAAGCTGTCAAGAGGGCGGCTGCGGCTTCAACACAAGTCCCAGGTGAGGGTGTCAAGGGAGGCTGATGCCAGTGTCCCTCGGGCTGCCATTTCCCCGCCTCGAGCGCATCACCCCCTGTGGCCTCTTCCCTGGGACTGAACACAAGAAGAGGACCTTCTCCAGCTTCCCCTCCCCAAGCTGGAGTGCTTGCCACCGGCCCAGAGAGGGACAAGCAAATTGTTGCGCTGAGCCTTGGCCCAAGGAGGCATTTGCGCCTCCAAGCCCTCCTCCCGTGCATCCCGGGTCCCGTGTGTCAGAGTCAGCCTAGCCGCAGGGCCTGAGGGAATGAGTGAGCCTAAGACAGAGCAAGGGGACAGCGGGACTGTCTGCTCTGGTCACCCTCCCACCCTCCACGTCATCTGTCAACATCAAAACAGGGGAACGGCTGAGAATGGCAGACTGCTCGGCACTGAGCTGCAGGGAGTGTCTTTCATCAGAGAAGCCCCTGCTCCACCAGCCAGTAACGCCGGGGGCTCCCACCCAGGAGTGTGAGGAGCACAGGGAAGGTGATGCGGAGCTGGCCTCAGTGATGCGCCACGTTTCATACCTTCTTATTTTACAGCCGCTGTGAAAGGGAGCTTCCCGGTGGGTAGGACTAGGGGAGATGGGCTCTGAAACTACGCGTGGGCCCCCTTAAGAGGCTGCTATGTGTTCTAGTTCTCCAACTGGGGCTCCTCGGGTCAGACCCGCCGTGTACAGCCGTGTGGGTCATTCACTACACAAGGACAGCTGAAGGTCAAGTAGGGGCCGAACTCTAGCCTGCACCGTGCTTGTCCAGCTGGGCATGTGGGGCTTGGGCCCATCAGAGAGAGGAGTCCTGTTTTCTGTTTTGAACGAAGGTACGACATGGGCTAGTTGCACCACGCCATAGACTTTCAGCTATGTTTGGTCTTGAACCTGGGTTTTCCCTGTCAAATAAGCAGGGCTCTGTGCAGGCTCTTTGGCTCCAGTGCCCCCAACTACATGATGCTTGGCACAGCACATACCCAGACATCTGCTTTGTATGTTCAAGTTCTGCGTGACTCCGAATGACGTTTCCATCGAGAAAGACAAATACCATTGGAAATGACATTTCCAAGGAGAAACTCACATAGCACTGCCTCTGTTGGGGATTGGGAGGTATCTGCACCCAATCCAATATGGCCCCAGCAGCTTCAATGAACCACAGTAAACTACTCCCTAGGATCTCCTGTAAAAGGGGCCATGTCTGGCCTTTAACAGACAATCCCTCCATGTCACAATACATCTTGATACTTGCAAAGAACAATTTGCTTTCTCCAAAGGTTCCTTTACCAAGAAAAGAAAGGAAATTGACATGGGAGACTAGCTGACTGAACTATCCAACCACCTGGGTTAATGTTTCTCGCCCCCTATTAGTCCTAAATGGCAGCTGGCCTCATATCCTTGGTCCGTGAATGGCCTACCTTCACTCCCTCATTTTTCAGATTAGTCCCATAACATGGATGGTCTTTTTATACCTATTTCCCAGCACTGTGAGAATGCTATTGAACTATCTTTCAATGAGCTTTACAGTTTGCAGGGAGTAAGTGATGATATATTCATATAGACTTTCTTCTAGAGAAATCTAGCACTTTAGGTATATCATATCCAGAAAAATGGCTATCAGAAGGCAGGGCATATAGGTTGGTTGGTTAATTCCATTTGATTGGAACACTGGGCTTTTCAGACCAAGTTGGGTGCCAGCCTTGAGTACTTTGAGAACTGCCACTATTCTACAGCCATAGACCATTTTCTCTAACACAGCCATTATCTTGTGGGTGTGTGGTGTTGCCACAAGAGTACAAGAAACATGGATGCCTCAATGCAAATCCATTTCCACCACTGGAACCAAAGGATTGGACTGTATCACCCACTAGAGTCTTCATACCAGGGGATCTAGAAACTCTCTCTTTTTTTTTGAAGTTTGACCCTTCTATCATAAAGATGCTAAAAAATCTCAGGAGCTTAGAAGATTTTTCTTCTTCAGCCAGCCTTGAGAACATCCCTCCACACTTGAGATGCTGAGAAGATGTCTGGTGCTTTCTCATTCCACATGCTTTGTTAACAGACTTTGGAGGACCACTGACCCAACGCTACTTCTGGGTTGAAGAGGCATCTTTAAAAGCTCTTCACAGAGTTTCACTGAGATCACTCTTGCCTTTCTGATACCCACTTCTCATGAAAAGCAGCCTGGAGATGTTTGAACATCTTCTCTGGGTACCAGCCTTCCTCTCTCCCACCCTCAGCCTATGCAGTCAACCTGAAGGACTTCCACGGGGTTGTGAGAGTTCCGCTCCCCTGAATTTGCACCCAGTGGTCCAGCCTGCCTCACCGAACACTCTGGGTTCTTCAACATAGTCCTTAAACATCCTCTCCACACGGAATTCAGGCCTCAAAAGCAACAGGGAGGGATGGGTTCCCACCACTCTCCACAGGGCATCAGGGATGGAGAAACACCTATGGGCTTTGCCTCTGATGGTCTGAGGTAGTTTCTTAGTGTGTGAAGCCACATGGCCATGGCAAACCAGCCACAAAGACATACCAGGGACCAACAGGCTTTGTATTCTGCAAGGAATTCTGATTCCTCATGAGGAACGCCCATAGAGAAGACCAAAGAAAGAATGAGCACCCATATTTTAATTGCCACCTACCCACTTATTGTGATGTTCACATCTAGCAAATTCAAAATAATGTTTAAATTCCATTACAGTGCATCTAGCTGTGACAGGTAAATGACTAGGTTGCTTTCAGCAACCCAGAATTCTTAGAATGTATGTTAAAGAGATAAAATAAAGATGCTAATCACACGATAGTCAGGTTTATAAGGACTCTCCTCTTCAACGGGGGGTAGAGGGGCAGGGGGGTGGGGGAAAGGGCAAATCAGAATCAGTGGGTTTCTGTCCTTTGGGAAGGGAGGTGTGGCCAGTTCCACGCATGGCATTTCTGTTCCCGGGCTGCCATTTTGGTTCCCGCAAGCTTGATGTTAGCAGTGCAGGCTGGGCCCCATGAATTCAGCAGCTTGTTTTTGATGAGCAAGTGAATGAGTGAGAGCGAGTACTCCATGTACACTAAGCCCTGTGCTCGAATCTTGGGGAGAATGTCATGAAGAGGAAAGATGGGTCTGTGCTGTTCTATAGACCCCAGTGCAGAACCTCCACCACACAGCACGGGGAAGACCTACCCATTCAGCGCTCTCGCCTATTACCGTGGGGTCTCCTATATGCCACATTGTGTCGCTCTCTACCACCCTCGAAGCTGGGTGTGCATGAGAAATAGGCCCTTCCCTACAAGAAGAGTGAATCTGCAGCCCACTTCGAGTCCCTCCATCCAAATCAAGACAAGGCCATGCCCCTGGGAGCACAGGCTGGGACTTGTTTCTTCCTCTACCCCGCGCGCAGCGGTGGGTGCCCTCCTCTGCCTGTGACACTATGCAGATGAGGCTGACAGGGGCTGTAAGGGATGTCGGGACTCATGCAGAGGCCACTGACACACACGCCAGCTAGACTGCGTCGTCAGAACCCATGCAGCACGGCCACCTTCTGCACACGCAAAAGCCTACACAGCAGCGTCAGCTCGCGATCTGCACCTGCGTGATTGCCAGAATTCATAGAGGGAAATTTGGAATTTTCTTTTTTTTCAGATGAGCTATGGTTCTGAGCCAATTTAGTTCATGGTACAGTTCAATGGCCTTCTCCCTGGGCTGCTGCAGAAGATGCACACACCGAGCGGCCCCAAGGGCAGCGCGGTCCCTCCTCCTCCCCACAGCCCTGAGCAGAAGATCAAATGCAAGGTCCCCGAGGCAGGGCGGTTGTGTGTGCACCTTCTGCAGAGGGAGCTGCTTGGTCTCTTGCAAACCCATCCCTAGAAGAGAAGCTGCAGACACTCGCAAAAGAAAAGGGGTGTATTGAGTGGGGAAAGCGCTGGGCTCCCTCCCGCCTCGAAGGAAACGACAACAACAACGACAACTGAAGAAACAAAGAAAAAAAAACCCAGAAGAAACGTTGAGGGAAGAAAACCAGCTGAACTTACCACACTGCGAGTGAACTTTTCTAAGGAGGTTCTACGACCTTGCTCACTTTCTGGCTTTAGGGGAAAAAAAAAAAGGTAGGGAGAAAAATACAGAAAAAAAAAATCTTCAGCTTACATGTTGTTTCCAAACAGCAGCAGCGGCAGCTAATGAACAAAAACAGCAGCAAAACAGGGCGAAAAAATGGGAAAAGGGAAGCAGCCAGTGCTGTAGGTGAGTCAGTGGGAGAGACAGAAAACAAGCCTGCCGGAAACAGTGCTGCCTCTTGGAGCAGTTAGGAGAGAGGGGTGTTGGCTTTGCGCTGCAGGGCTCGGGAGTGGGAGCCCCAGTGCCTTTGCACGGGGCCACAGTTGGCAGTTTGGAGCGGCCTGCTCACTGCTTTCCACTGGCTGTGCTCATGGATGGGCAGGAACTCCCCATGTGTGTCCTTGCGCCTGCAGGCAGACATCTAGGTAGTGGGGACCCAGAACAGACTAGCTCTGCGGGCCAGGTGGGATGTAGGGGATGCTGATGAGACAGCAGGAAGTGGCTGTGGGCAATGTGAGGTTGTCACCTACAGCCACAGTCTGGGTTAGGATTCTGGGATTTTCCCATCCAGACACAGAGTTTGCTAACTTTGATGACTTCCTAGTGGCCCCCTGCTGACTTTCTTTCTGTACCCTTAGAGCAAGGAGGGTCTACACACGTCCTTTTATTTGGCAAAGGGTCTTGGGCCTCAGAAGGAGTGTTTTGGACAGAAAATGCTCTTTCAGTACACAGGCAGGTGACCCCTTCTAGATTTTATGCAGGGTAGGCTACAGGAGGCTCAGGGGACCTCTGTGGAGAATTCTTAGCTAAGGAGCCCGTGATATGGGCAAGAAGAGGCAAAGCCCTTGAATGCTCCTCCAAGCCTAGTCACTCACTCCCATAGAAGGAGATGCTTTGGTGTGCACCTGACCCTCTCCCTAAGTTTCAAGCTTTTCCTAGAGATGTTGGTAGAGAATTACATCCCGGATCCTGGCTTGGTTATCCCAGAGCCCTGTTCTAGGGTCTTGAGCCTGAGGCTGGGGAATCGGGAGAGTACAATCACTCACATGGACACACACACACACACACACAAACACACACACACACACACAGCAAATCATGGAAACTGGAGAGCCACACAAGCTGCCAGAAGACAGGGCATTGCAGAAGGAAAACAACACAAACACACACACACACACACACACACACACACACACACACACGACACACCACGGCAGAGCCAGGCTGGTCTTCTCCTCGCACAAGGAGCTGAAGGGTACCATACCAAGTCTTGGCTCTGGGGACAGCGGGACTCAGCTTTGATTCAGTGGGCGGCCCCGGGTGGCACACACTTGCCTGGGTCAGGCTGGCCCTGGCCCTGCAGCTAGCACGGTGCGCCTATCGCTCCTGTCCTCTGGCTACTGGGTTGCTGCTCACAGAGAGTGGCCATCAGCCTGATCATTCGGGTTCCTGCCTTGTGCAAGCCCTCTGAGCTACCCTGGAAAATCATCATGGGTGCTTAACTGCCCCAGAGGAGCCGCAAAACCCAGCTCACCTGCCCCTTGAGAACCTGGTTTGCCAGAGTGACTAACCTTCGCTTTGACAATATTAGGACAGAGGCTGAACTAGGGATGAAGGCTCAGAAGGGTGTGGCTCCAGACACCATCAAAAGATGGAAAAGCAGAGAAGTGAGGCCGATCCACGTCCCCTCTTGTAGCTGGAGCTTGTGACTCTCATATACCTTCATGATCTGGACATTTATGTCACATGGAAAGCCCATCTCTGAAATCAAGGCACCCTAGGCCTACCTGACAATGGTGAGTTACAAATCCAGTCCATACCTGGAGACTCTCAGGGAGAGATGGGGGAAAAATAGGTTTTGTCACTGTTTTTGGAAGCAGCTGACCCCTGGATATTGAAAGGGTGTTGGCGTCTGTAAGGGCTTTTCTGCTGAAGAACATCCTATAATTTGGAGGCTGGGAGGGTCACATACCAGGGTGTACTTTTTCTTTGTGTTCAAAGCCACAAGGGGCCTGAATGCCACCTGGCTTCTCCTGGGTATGTAGGTAGGCCCGGATGGCCCAGACTGCTAGAGCCTCAGAATTTCTCCACGTTGTGATCAGTTCAGGGTCCTGAGCCATGAGAAAGGGGAATGTTTGCTTCTACCTTCTCCCATGAGCTCTGGGCTGGAGATACCAGAAGTGTCCATAACCTTTCTTGATGATGGGCGTCTGATGTTCCCCCCCATCAGAGCTCGCTCTCCCTGCACCCCCCTGTAAGGGAGCTAGCGACATGCCAGGCTTTCCATTTTCCATCACAGTAGTGACATCTGGCGGGCGGGGCACAGACAACCACTAAAGCTGGGTTCCCAACAATCTAGACTTTCCAGAAGTCCTTTTTCCCTTCTCAGACTATCGGGGATTTTCTCCGGGCTACCTACCAGCGGGAGAGCAGGATCTAAATGCTCTCCTGGACTCTGGAGTTAAACGGTACCGACCAGAAACGCAGACAGGCTCCCGGCACATGAGATCGACAGTACACATAGAGAAGGGCCGCGTGGCTGTGGGAGGCAGCCTGACAGACAGCGTGAGGTAGACACCCACGTGCTTAGGGACTGGGGCTGGCTGGCTGGGAGGGGAGAGGCGGGGGGTGCACATATTCCTAGGTGGCGTGGCACGGAAGGTGTGGATTTGGGTGCAAGGGGAGTCACACTTAATCACACGTGGGCCTCAGAGCAGAGGTGGCAAGGGTAGAGGGTTTGCGGGGATTCTGGAATCCTGAGCCATCTCTCCTGCCTCCTCTTTCCCAGACCCCATGCCCCTCCCCGCTCCCCCTTCTCTCCTCCCCAAAATCCAGCTGAGTTCCTCCTGTTTCAGTTGCCCTTCACTACTGACATGCTGAGGGTCTCTGCCCACCCCCCCCCAGTCCAGCCGACAAGGGCTGCAGGGAACATGACTTGATTTCAAGCAGAGGAGGAATAAGAAGCTGGGGCACACCTACTTTATGGCTAAAAGAAAAGGCACACACTGTGAGGTGGGGGAGGGAGGGGAAAAGGGTACCAGGGAGGGAATGGTCCCAGGAACTTCTGGTGCCAGACTGGGGACTGGGGGAGAGGCTTGGCACCTGTAAGATTTTCTACCCAGATTTTCTGCCCAGTCCTTGCCTCATCTTCATCCCTGAGCTGGTCAGGGAGATAAAATCTGTGGTAGGAGGGTCGGATTTTGCAGTGAGGGGGATTTTGCAGTTTCCTAAGGGACTCGTTGGGGTCACTGTGAGTCCTGAACTTTTGCACCGAGCCACTGTGTCCTCAGTATTAGGTTACACTTTCTGTTGTGGGCAGAATGCCTGCAGACCAAGGTAATGGGAACATGGAGACAGGATGCCACACCCTGGACCTTAGGGGGTATGCTGGGGTGGTGACAGTTCTAGCTGTCTTCCCTTAAAGAGGGAGCAGATAGAGAGGGGAAAGAAGAAAAGAGAAAATAAACAAAACCCAAGGGGTGATATTCTCATTTCACGCCAGCAGCAAGCAGCAGGCAAGGGTCAACAGTGCTAAGAAAGGCAGGCCTGCCCTTCCCAATGATACCTTCTTCTTGGCCAGCAGCAAGTCCTGGTAAGCATTTGACCGGAGGAAGCGGGCATAGCTGTCACTCTTCATCAACTTGTAGATGTGTTCCTGGGAAGGGGAAGAAGTGGGAAGATGCAAGAAAGAACTATCAACCAATGCTAAGGGGAATCACAACACAACTGGCCACTCGTTTAGGGAAGAAACACACAGTTATGCTCCATGCATCTAGAAACACTTGCAATGTGTTTGTTTCTTCTTTTCCCACCCAGAAACACCAAACAAAATGTATTTTCTCTCTTAGAATGAAACATCCTGGAGGGTCATGTCCCAAAGGCTTTGTAATTGGGTCTTGGTGCCATCTTGAGATGCAATATTGCCTCATGATTAAAACTACAGGCACAGCAATGAGAAGGACCAAGCACTGATACACCCAGCCACTTGGATGAATCTCAAGGGAATTATGATGAGCGAAAGAGCCAAGTACGATTCCATTTATATAACATTCTCGAAATGATGAATTAGAGACTTAGACAACAGATTAGTGGTTGCCAGGGGTTAAGGAAGGGAAGAGGTGTGCTTATAAAAGACAATATGAAAGATTCTTGCAGTGGTGGAATGACTCTCTGTCCTATACATGTGATGGAGTTGTACAGAACTAAACACACACACACACACACACACACACACACACACACACACGAAGAATACAAGTAAAATTGGGATATCTGATACTCAGTGGATGTAGCAATGTCAGTATCATGGTTGTGATACCATACTATAGTTTTGCAGATATCATCTTTATGGGAAACTGGGTAAATGGTACATCTCTGTATTATGTCTTATGGCTGCATGTGAATCTGGAAGCATCTCAAAATGAAAAGCTTAATTAAAGGGGCACCTGGGTGGCTCAGTCTGTTAAGCGTCCAACTTCAGCTCAGGTCATGATCTCACAGTCTGTGGGTTTGAGCCCCATGTTGGGCTCTGTGCTGACAGCTCAGAGTCTAGAGCCTGCTTCTGATTCTGTGTCTCCCTCTCTCTCTGCCCCTCTCTCACTCTGTCTATCTCTCAAAAATAAATAGACATTAAAAATTTTTTAAAAACTTAAAAAAACACAGGCAATGATGCAATTAGGTCAGTTGTACATGTTAGGGCTACCATCCCATCCTGGAAGGGTGCCCTTGGCAACCATTTATGGAGCATGTGAGCAGGTGCACCAGGCTTAAGGCTTATATTCAGGAGGAGTAGAAACTGTGGAGTGGTGTTCTCTCTTTTCTTGGGATCCTCAAGGCATTTGCATTCTAGTCTTGGTGATGAATTTCACCCTTGACTTCCAGCTAATTCCTATAGTCTGTGGGCCCTTCCTAACAGATCTGTCCTCAACAAGGGCAGAAAAAGCCTGGTTCCTTAAAAGAGGGAGTTTGTTGATTAAAAAAGTGTTACTTATCAGTTGTGATGGAATGTACCTCAGCTGTACAGGAAAGCCTGGGTGTCCTGAGAGAGGACCTGTTAAGAGGGGCAGTGGGCTTTAACTAGGCATGGTGGGATTGGGGGCAGAGGCTGGCCTGGTAGAGGAGGCATCTTCCCTTATGTTCACTCATTGTTTATCCCACGAAGCTGGACAAGGACCCCAGCACTTGAGGGAACGGAGAGCTGGTCAGTGAGGGGAGAGGGCTCAGTTGAGAGGCTGGACTGGTCATTAAGACCTTTTCCTTGGGTACTTGCCCTCCAGGGGAGGGTAGAGGGAAAGTGGTGTCCCCTTAGCTGGTGGGTGGCACATTGTAGAGATACCTGGCTAGGCTTCTATTGCATCCCAGAGGAACCTTTGACAATGATGAGGGTTTGCTCAAAGCCTCTCCCTTCCCACTTCTAAAGAAAGTGAAAGTAGAAAGCAAGAAACTCCTTGGCCACATGTGTATCCTTTTCTGTCTCATCTTCTGTTTGGGCAGCAGCTTCATTCCTCCTGGAATGCCCCCATGTTTACAACAGCAGGGTGCAGCCCAGCTGATGGGATGGCCCACTGCAAGGAGCCAAGCAAAACTCAACAGTGGCTTGGATCTGAACTGATTTTGATAACCCAGATGTGTTGCATTTAATTAACTTAGTGAGAACACGCTTCACTTAGTGTTTTCCTGCAAATATCAGACAAAAATCCAGCCCACTCTAGTTTAAATTCCTTGAGGGTGGAAACAACATGTTTTTTTTTATCTCTCATATGGATAGCGTCTGGCACAGGGTTCAATGTTAGTGGAATTTACATTGTTTCCAGGGTCACTGAAGTGCTTGTCTGAGTTTATCAGCCAGCAGGTTTGCAGGCTCCATTTGTGTTGTGGTTTACGCTCACATCAGTTTGTGCCGCATGGAAGGGGAGCGGGGCTCACACTCAGTTCAAAGGAATCCCATGTACGAGTGTCATGGGTCATCTCTAATGGCCTCAGAACCGAGGCCGAAGTGCTGCTTTGGCCTTTGTTTTTATATGTTGTCTCTTTAAGTTGTTCTAACATTTAAATCTTAGGTACAAATGTTAATGCAGAGTAAAAATGACTCACTGTCTCCTTTTTCTTGTCTCAGGCATCACTTCTGTCTGGCCCACAGAGCCAGGTGTCTCCTGAGTCATTGGAAGAGACCTGTCACTCATGCCTGGACCCTCTCCAAACCCTTATCCAAGGTAACAGGTCCCTGCTTCTTATTCTGGCTTCTCAGAGGACTATAAATCCCAGGTATATCTCACAAAACAGCCCCCTCACCCCCTTCCCCACCCTGCTGCCCCAAGAGAGGTAAGGAAATCTCTCCTAGCCCAGCATTTCTGGCTTTGGCAACAGATTTCTCCCCCCATCCAACTAATTCCACCAGCCTCACTGTGGGATGGAAAAGCCTGGTCCATTAAAAGAAAGAACTGGTCAATTAAAAAAGAGCAGGATAAAGCAGATGGCCAAATATTTAGTCACAGAAATATGCAGCAAGTGTTTAATGAGGACCTACTAGGTGTAGGCACTCTGTCAGGCACTGAGGTTACAGCCTGAACAAGACAGATGAGGCCCCTGCTGTTGCAAAGCTTCGATTCTATTAGGCAAGATTGATGCACAAAGCTGATAGACTGCTCCTCCCAAAGCAGTCTCAGGTCCCGGCCACTAGTGAATTTTGCTTAGCTCCTTTCAGTAGCTCCCATCAGCCACCTTTGTAGATCTGGGCGTGGATTTGAGCTACGAGCTACAAAGAAGACACGTAAGCACAGGGTGCTGTGAATGTTGTATATGGGATGCATGGCCTTTCCTGCCAGAGGGGGAAAATGGTCATCTAACCAACCACGGATCCTCATCGAGGTAGGAACATCTGAGCAGACAGAGAGAAAAGTATCTCCCAGTTCCATGGGGATGGAGGGTTGGTGAGTCTGGTCTTTCCGCCGCATAGTGGTCAACCAGAGCAAGAAGGGGCGAGCAGGATGGAGTGGCCAACCCTGACGGTCTACTTTCCACGGGCTCCATGTGGGTGAGAGGAGCAGTCCACACTGCTCTCATCTTCCTCATGTCATATGCCAACTCCAGGGCCAGAACCAAGGTGGGGTCAGTATGGGGAGAGGTAGAGAGTGAGGACAAAGATCTGTTGGAGGTGGGTTAAATAAGGTGGTCTTAATCTGTCTACCCCACTGAATCAGTACGACAGTCTCAAACAGTGAGGGAACCACCACCAAAGTAACAATAGCAGATGCAAGGCACAGGTCTGAGAAAGGCAACCTGATGACGTGTGCAGATCTCTCGTGTTCCCTGTAGGGCCCATGACTTCAGGCCCCTCTGGCCTGGGTCTCTATTTCCCACAGTCCAGAGTTCCATGACTCTCCCCTACCCTCCTCTGCTCCTCTAAGCCAAGAAATGGTGCCTTTGATGTACCCAGTTTACGGAACCCTGTTCCTTCCTCCTTGCCAGCTTTGTCGAAGAAGCACAAAGACAGTAAACAGGGGGTGGGTGAATGGAGAGCTGAGGTTTTTCTGGGAATGAGAATTAAGATAGGACTCAGGGTCTTTGGCCAGTTCCCAAATGCAATGAGTTTATCACTGCCAGGGACAGCAAGTGTACAAAGCTCTTGGCAGTGACCTCTACTGATTTATGGGAGGTTCTGGTTTGTTTCCCCTGCTCTGCAGACAACCAGTCTTAAGGAAAATGTGTATCCAGAATCTGCAAAGAGCAAGGGAGCTACTGGCAGAACGAGGGAGCCCCCACGGACAGAATTCCTCAGGGGTTAGAGAAAAAGAAGTTTGATCTCATTCCTACTTCCCGTCCCACCCTCCCTTCCTTTCCATCCTTTTTCTCTTTTCTTCTCTTCCCTCCTTCTTCATTTCTTTCCTCTCTCCCTTATTCCTCTTCCTCCTCTCCCTCCCTAAGCCCTTCCCCTTCCCCTCCTCCTTCCTTTGCCTTCCCTTCCTCAAAAAGCGATAGCTGAGTGGACTATGAAAAGGCAGAACAACCAGCATCCACATCTGCTTCCCGACACACAGGAAGGGGGTCACCTACTCCAGGGAGGGTGAGGATGGTTCTCCATAGGCTGAGCCACTGGGGCTCTAGGGCCCTAAGTCGTACTGGATGTCTTAGCCACAATTCTCTGCGGGAGGAGTAGGGGGTGGGAATCACACCCCGGAGTAGTTGACAGTTATAGTACCGGGATGTCACCTTGTGAGACACTCCACCCTCATTTCCCGTGCTGGGCCCAGCCCCGGGACGGAGAGCTCTGCTCATCTGGGATGCTAAGGCAGAAACAACTGGAATCTGTAGTGTGCAAGACACATGTGGGCGCTGGAAGGAGAGAGCGGTGCAAGGTGTCTCAAAACCACACTTGCTTCACAGCAATGTTTTGCTGAGATAGTCCTCGTTTGGAAATCTCCCTTCTTTTTAGGCAAAACACAGTAACCCTCCCAAGCACTGGGGAAGGTAATCAGACAAATACCGGGGGCCTTGGGTCCCAGGCCGCTGAATTACTTAAGAGCACCCTCATGTCCCCCTCGTGGCTGTGGGTCCTAAAACAGCTATGGTCTCATTTCCCAGCTTTCGAACATCCTCCTGGAGTGGGAAACCACTCAGCTGGAGCACTGTACAGCTGCCAAGAGCCCTTCTTGTGAT